CCCCCCTTCTGCCCACCCTAAAACTTTGTTTTATTCGCCGCTTGCGGTCCCGCGACGGAGGGGCGTGTGTGCAGGAAGCCCGGCTGCCGCTCGGGCGAAAACCCGCGGCCCTGGGCTCCGGAGCCTCCCCATCCCACCTCCGGCAGATACCCACGTCAGTCACTCGTGCAACATCGTGTTGGAAAATGAGGCGAAATGGTTCCAAGCAAGCCCTGCCATGGTGCCTTTGTTTTGCAACAGTAGCCTCTCCTCCACCCAAGTTGGCAAGCGGGTGCCTGGCGTCCATCTGAGCTCCAGCCCGCTGTGCCAGGGCAGGTCGGGCGGTATGTGAGTTTGCTCCAGAGATGCCACTGTAAATAGCTGCCACACGCACAAAACTTCGGTGCAACAGTGGTGTCGTGTGGAGCGGCTGGCGGCAAGCCCACGGCCCGGCTGTTTGCTCTGCTCCTTGAAATGATGCCGCTTAGAAAAGGAAGAATTTTAAAAATACCCCTTGACTTCTGTAGGGAAGCCTGTGTTATTTATTTATATTGTTACGGCCTTGAAGCCGTAATCACGCCTGCAGCCCTGATGGCAACACGGCCTGTAAAAAGCCACCGTGCATCCTATTAGACACAGTCCACTGTGTAATCTTGTAGTCCAGACCAGAGAACTTCAAGTGTGGCCACACGTGAAATTAATGTGTGACCATAACATCAAAGTGTCTTTCTGTTTCTCTGTTGTGTTTATCTAAGGCAACCGTGGACAACAACTACTCCAAAAAACTGTTTTGCAACTTTGATGGGAAATCTTAGCTGCTGGAAAGTCCCATTTTGGTTTCAGACCTGGCACAGCCATCGCTCACTCTCTGTCTCATCGCAAGCCTTTAAATTAACTGCATGCTGAAAAAAGAGTGGATGTTGGAGATGGTGTTGATTACTAAGCTGCTGATAGCCCTTGGATTGGAGTGAAAACCTGGACTCAGGGCTCAAACACAATATTAAGCTTTTATTAGTATTTGTAGGGACTTTTGCTGTGGGGAAGAAAGGTGTGCAGTTTGAAAGAAGGATTTGGCCATGACAGCTGGGCATTTTGCTGGGTTTTGAAATCACAGGAAAACAGACTGCTTCAGCAAAACATGAACACATTAAAAATAGATGTTTAGATCATTTACTGTCGAAGTATGGCTGACAGTGTAGTTCTACCATTTTTATTTTTTTCCAGGTAGCATGCTGTTTTAGAAGAACAGAAACTTTCTTTATGTTGATGAGCAAGCTTCTATGTTTGAGTTATGCTTTTGGCTTGCATGCAGCATTTTTGCATTTTCAGGGCTGTAAACATTGACTGTATTGATTGGAGATGGTCTCAGCTAGAGAAGCAGCATGAGATCTGCCCTTCCTAAGAGGTAGCCTCCTTCTAGACAAGCCCATCGGCAGTTCAGTAGAAGGTGTGATCTTCCGGATCCTCCCTGGCTCTCTCTTGCACACGTGCGTGCAGGTGCACACGCACTTACTCTCAATGTGTTCTTCCAAGATGTTCCACAACTAGAAGGATGCTAACTGCGTGGGTTTGATACCCAATACAAACACCCTTTTCTGTCCACTTCTGCAGGATGAAGGAATGCAGTTAATTTGTAGATCTTATGGGATGGTCAGGCACACTCTGACGAAGAAGCCAGGAGTCACCGTACCCCTCTCTCCCATGCTCCAAAAACCTGCATTCCCCCCATAGTGCCCTTGGTGCTTGGAAATTTTGCAGAAGTCTGGAATAGAACACCAGGGCTTGAGTTTTGCTTAGCAAAAATAAGCACAAGCAAAAGCTCGGGGAAATCCAGGTTGCATCCCAACTGAGTTGGGGGTGAAAGGGTAGATGAGTGCCACTTCCCTTGTCTGTGTGCGCAGGTTTCTTTGCCATGGACTTCAGGATATGCCTCATCCCTATATTAAATGTTCACCTGGGACATGCCCTGGGAAAATGAGCTCTTCTCAGTATGGGTATAGCACCTTTGTCTTACTCAGGCCACTAAATTAAATTGTTACTGAGCCTTTAGGTTTCAGTGAGAATCTGGACGTAGGGTTCAAAGGTAAGGATGGCCAAATACCTGTGAGCTTTTGCATTGGGGGAGGTGATGATTTTGGAGCCATTTTGAACAAAAAGTCCCGTCTAGATAGTTGGTCATTAACTGACTGTTAATATGAGATCTTACAAAAACAGCTTTCAGTTTGTCTCAGGTTTGACCCAAAATCAGAAGATTTGGGGAATGGCTTTTTTTCTCTTTTGAGGTTCTGGCTTTAGTTCTCTGGTGGAGCAGGTCCTGCTCAAGTCTCTCAGATCACAAGTGCTTTACAACAGCCATTTGCAGGAGATAATGTAATTCTTGTAATTCTTGTTCTCATCTGAGAGTCTAGAGAACTGAGATAGAGTTCACATGACCTATCCAAAATATACAGTATATTAGCATAAGAAATGAGACAGGGAAACAAATTATTTGCTCCAGTCACAGGATTAAATTGCCTTTCCCTAACTCTCTGCAACTGTTAAGAAATTCATGGGCCATTCCTCTTGCAAGAACTTGAAAAGGCCAGACATGCCTTTTGTGCTTCTTTCTGATGTAAGTGGTATTAAATATGCATTGTAGCTCAGTTACCTTAGATAACTGAGCATAAATTCATCCATCTTCCACTTGAAATTCTGTTCCCAAACGTAGCAGCTGAATATTCTTTCCTTTGTTTTTTGCTTTTTGGAGGGGTTGGAGGTTTTTTGCTTTTGTTTTTTAGAGAAGAATCTTGTTAGCATTCCTTAGAAACTCATTAAAATGCTTCCCTTTTGGCTTATTCTCCTAATTTATTAATACCACAAATAACTTTTTCTTTGGTGACCCACTTTCGTAGGTATCTGAACATCTAGCAAAATTGTAGCTCATCAGGAAGGCAGCGTAGACTAATAAATAGGATCTCCACATAGGAGTGGAAAAATCAAGACACTTCTTTGCCATACAGAGTTCTACATACCACACACATACAGAAAACATTGCTCCGTTCCACAGCTTACTTGGCACCCTTTGCCCAAAAGAAAGCACTGTATTGATTGCATGATTGATTTAAAGGTCAGAATTTAGGATTGCATCTATTCTCCTGGCTGAATTCAATTTTTACCCTATGTCCACAGTGAAGAAACTGCTCTTTGCATGAATATAAATTGAAAGTGAATGTTCAAACAAATAGACTTTCTCTTATAGCTCCCAGGGCAACCTCCCAACGCTGTTATCAAAACCAATAGGGTTTGACTAAGATACTGCTTTTTATGGAATTATCATACCTGCTTTGTGAAAAGTAGATTTGCTTAGAAAAAGAGGATACCCACTGATTTAATGAGTATGATGGTCAACTGGCCACTGGAAGTGGTAGGGCTTTACAGACTCTAAGTCAGGGAGAGGTCAGCTAGTGTAGAAGTGTAGACTTACTTTCATACTCACTTATTTAAAAAAATACAGAGGTTGCTTTTTGTGAACTGAAGCTATACAGGCAGGCTTCTCACAGGGGGTGATTAATCACCTTGTGTCCTGCAGACGCTTAAACCCTGGTCATGTTTTAAGGGCAGTCTGCTCTGACAGTGTGTGTCTGTGGTTGTCCCAGCCCAAGGATGCTCGGCATTGCCTCCTTCTCTCCAAAGTCTGCTGGATAGCAACCCCCAACAGGAGAGCAAAAGGCTTATTTGGCGACTTCTGATGAAGCTTTGTTTTCCTTTTCAGTAAGTGTGGGCGTCTGTGTAAGTGTGAAAGCATCATGGTGGCATTTAAAGGAGTCTGGACTCAGCCCTTCTGGAAAGCCGTTTCAGCTGAATTTTTGGCCATGCTCATTTTTGTCCTCCTCAGCCTCGGCTCCACAATCAACTGGGGCGGAGCAGAGAAGCCCCTGCCTGTAGACATGGTCCTTATCTCCCTCTGCTTTGGACTCAGCATTGCAACCATGGTGCAGTGCTTTGGACACATCAGTGGAGGCCACATTAACCCTGCTGTGACCGTGGCGATGGTCTGCACGAGGAAGATCAGCCTCGCCAAGTCCGTCTTCTACATTCTCGCCCAGTGCCTGGGAGCCATCGTGGGCGCAGGCATCCTTTACCTCGTCACACCACCAAGCGTCGTGGGAGGCCTGGGAGTCACTGCGGTAATCACTTCTCCGGCTCTTGAACTAGACTAGCTTAGAGCCTAAGAAAATATAATCAGTGTCACACAGAATAAAGAGAGCTCAAGGAGAGGTTTTAAGAGCTTGCTAGTTTATTTACAGTATCTAGACGGGGCGTAAAGCTCTCCTTAGGATGGGTTTATGCAGCGTCATATCTACAGCTGTTCTTTTTATAGAAGTTCTCTTTCCTAGAACTTCCCCAAATCTGATGACAGCAGGTAATGTTAATTTACATACAAAATTTAAATAATATATGCGTGAAATGCCATTTCTATATGGGCTAGGGAGGGGGAAATTAATTCTATGCCATTATGATGGGGATTGAAAAAACATCAATTTAAAATGACATACTTTTGAAATAGATTGTGGCTTAGATTTCAGCTTTGTTCTAAACTAATAAGGAATGCCATCAGTTAGCCCTGTTGCAGGACTTATTAAAAATGCACTTGAGCCGCACACTGCTTAATTTTTAATTGAAATTTAAATTAATTAAGTCAGGGCTAATTAATGAATTTATAATTGAATAGTAAATTACAGCGCTCCCAAGAAAAAAATCGTGAAGGGGAAGTGCAGCATTTGCAAATCCCTGTGTAAAAATAAACTACACTTCTGCAGTCTAACTTTGAAGTTCTTGTTGGATGTTACTGTTAAGCCTCTGTTCTCAGTCCAGCAGTAATTTTCCATGGCTCTCAAAAAAAAAAAAAAAGAAAAGGGATTAGGGGTTGGGGAACCTGTACTTCTAAATTTCCTTGTTGTCTTTCACTGTGTACCATTTAGAAATACCTTTCATTGAAATACAATTAATGTATGTGGTGGCTTTCTGATTTACAAAATCACCTTTGTTTCATCTCCAGTGTTTCTTTCCTTTCTTTCAGGTACACGGGGATCTTTCCGCTGGCCATGGACTCCTGGTGGAGTTGATAATTACATTCCAGCTGGTTTTTACTATTTTTGCCAGCTGTGATTCAAAACGAAGTGATGTCACTGGTTCAGTAGCTTTAGCAATTGGATTTTCTGTTGCAATTGGACATTTATTTGCTGTAAGTTAATGGCTTCTCTTTAAAAAATAGACCCCTTGTCCCTTTATGACTACTTCAGAAGTAAATGGAAGTTTCTGTGGCCTTTATAGCCGTTCTAGCTGTATAGCTGCTGTATTCTTTATGGATCCATGCCAAAACCCTTTGGAGTAGCAGGAGGGTCCCCTTGGGTTTTCTGCCTGTTTATGTGATGAGTTTGTTAATTTCGTGATAAGACTGAGGACCTGAGTGACAATAGTTGCTGTCATGATTAGAAGCCATGCAAAACCAGGGTGTCCCCGTAGTACAGGGAATAGCAGAAAATGAATAACTATCATCTAGATTTTAATAACAGGTAACATTTTTTCTCTGCTTTAGATCAATTACACCGGTGCCAGTATGAACCCTGCTCGATCATTTGGGCCTGCTGTCATCATGGGGAGATGGGAAAACCAATGGGTAACTCTGCTTTTATGCTTCCTTCACCATAGCAACAAACAGCTATCAGGATTTTTCATACATCAATTGCTTTTAGTTATCTCTCCCAGTACGCCCCACAGAGACCATCACTGAGGAAGACAGGCACTGACCTGCCACAAGCTTAGGTATAATTATGCCCCTCGCCTAGGACTGCGGTGCAGTATGCAGCACGTTGGAATAGCATCTTGCTATTCAGGGGCCGTTTTGTGGAGGTAGTAGCTGGGTTAGAAAGGCAATCATACAAAAAGTTCAAAACAAAAAGAGCAATCCGGCGAGACTGAAAGAATTGAACTGCTAGAAAGAAAAAACCTCCGAGGCAGATTGCAAACCCCCTGGTCATGCTGGTGAGAAGTTATGGAAGTAATTCTGTCAGCTTCACGTTTCACCTGGTTCTGCAGCAAACTGGGGCAGACGTATAAAATGAGAGCAGGGACCCTCTGTGATCTAGTTCCCGGGGGAGAACCTGCCTCGGCAAATGCCCGCAGTGAGAGATGAAGCGGTTGCAGTCTGGTCTTCACAGACCAGACCAGATGTTACCTGCTTCAGTTTGAAAGCATCAGCTTAACTAGGATTATTTGCACAGGAAAGAATTTGATAAACAGACTGTGAATGATGCAGTCATTTTCTATAGCATCCCACTATTAAACTTATTAAAAACCAATTCACATTTTATAAGGGAGAGATGGATTGCAGCTCAGCCTCACCTAATTATAGACAGGGAAAGCACTTCTAGGGACACTTTCAATGCTAACTGTAAGAGCTGCATATTACAGTGCATATAAGGGTTTTCTTGATTTTTAAAGTATGAAGCCCACATTGCTCCCACTGCAGCTAATAACAGAAATAGCATTGTCTTCAGGCCCTAAGGCTCCAATTCTGCAAACACGATACCATGTGTAACTTTCTTCCCAAGAGTTATCCTATTGAGGCAGATTTACCCAGTTACCAGTGAATGGCTTGTTCATATGAAAAACTGCCGTAGTTTTTCACAAGATTAATTATCCATACTCTGCGGGAGCCTGTAATTTATAACTAAAGCTATAAACAATAAACAAATGTACCATGGAGGAATTTGTAGGAGAAGCTTAGCTACTGTCCTGGTCACTTGGAAAGATGGCCTTTTCTCCTCCTCCAGAGCAGTGACATTGGCATGCCACTGACAGCAGCCTGTGGGCTTCTGCACCTTCTAATATTAGTGAACTGCTCCATGTCATGCTGAAATAGATAGGTCCTCTACAAAGTTGTGTATGTTGGTTGTATTCAAATTAGATAATCAGGTAGCTGCCTGCCTGTTGGATTTTGTGGGATCAGAAGCCAAATTTGGATTATTTTGGAAATGTGAGTCTGAAATACTGAAGCAGAACTGTGTGTATATACACTAGGAGAGGTTTTGTTTCCTTAAAAGTTCATTGCCACCTTGAGTGAAAATGCAGAAAGAAAATCGATTTTCTGCATTGGTGTTTATTTTGTGTGTCATCTTGCAAACAGTCCATGTATGTTGTCTACAGTTGGCAATGAGTGATGAAAATTTAGAGGAGGCCTCTTGGAAAGAGGTGGATCAGTAAAACTTGACAAAACTGCTACTCTTCAAAGATGTGGGCCTGCTTCTCAGTCATCTTACCCCTGCTAGCGTAAAAGCTATGCCGGAGCAACTATATGTTGTATGCGACTACGGAGCTGTATTTGACAAGTCATACAAGACTCCACCAGGAACTGTGGCCTTTTTTTACTCAAGAAATGTTATAACTATGGTTGATCTAACTAAGGATGGTGAAGAACCTGTACTTTTTTTGTTATTGGACAAAGTTTAAAAAAATATGTTGAATCTCCCATAAAGAGGGGAGGGGAAAAGCTGCTTTCTATTAACAGAAGGCAGGGCAGCCAGAGAGGATGCCGGTGTGTCTGTCCATGGGAGGTGTCTGTAGCTTTGCTGCCACTCAGCTGGTCCGCTTGAGAAGATTGGTAACCACACATACAGACTGAAATCTTTTTCAGGCATCGGGGAAGTAGTAACCATACCTCACCAACATGTCAGCATAGGTCCCTCTTCTCTGCTCTGTGGGGTCCACTGCCTGGCAATTCCCTAAACGCTGGCACGAGAGGAGTTTTTAGGGGAGAGCTGCACCCACGGACGCAAGGTGGTTTAGATGACTGGATTCAAGGTGACTAGGGAGAATTTCTGAAGGGGGTGAAATACATGTGAGAGAGAGAGAGACTGGGAGCAGGCAGAAGGAAGAAAAAAAGTGACAGAGGATTAATGCCATTAAATGCCAAAGAGACTGCATTTTGACCAACTTCATATGTGATTTTAGAGCAGTCACTTAATTGCTGAGCTCCAGGTCGCCATCTGTGAAATCTATGGTAGTTACCCTTCTCTGCCTCATAAACTGGTATAATATCAGGCAGATTTCACCCCAGTTCATGAAAGGCAGGGAACTATATGACCATGCCTTTCTGGAAAGCAGAGTTGGTTTGAATGATTGGGCCAGGATATTTTGCCGTAAGTTTTGTGGGTGAAGTCTGTAGTGACATGCTTTTCTCTGACACCCTGGCTTCTTTATTTGCCCAAGAGCTTAATGCCTGTCTTTTTTTCCACCTCTTTTTGCAGGTATATTGGGTGGGACCAATAATAGGAGCAGTCCTTGCTGGTGCTCTTTATGAGTACGTCTATTGCCCAGACGTTGAACTCAAGCGCCGTTTTAAAGACGTCTTCAGTAAGGCCACCCAGCCGTCCAAAGGGAAGTACATTGAGGTGGACGATAACAGGAGCCATGTAGAGACCGATGACCTGATCCTGAAGCCTGGCATAGTTCATGTGATTGATATCGACAGGGGTGAGGACAAGAAGGGAAGAGATCCATCCAGTGAGGTGTTGTCTTCTGTATGACTAGCAAGAAGCACTGAAAGCAGAGATCAGCCTGCTAGCCTGTCCACAGATATCCTCCCACCTATTAAAGAAACAGATCTCCTCTAAACTGAGCATCTGCCATTTCTTAACAGGTATGGTGTGGGCAGCTGCGTGGTAGCGGTGTCACCAAACCATATGCCTGCTCAGTTGGAATATTAGGACTTTCCTATAATGAGGATTCCCCATCTATTATTCCATATTAAAAGCTGTTCCTACTGTTTTCCTTTCCTTCTTTCTGGAACAATCCCAAAGTCAAAAAAAGAGATGAAAGCATTCTCCTTTAATAAATCAGTCAATAATGAGATGAAGATAGAGATGTTTAACATTCAGATTGACAGTTAAGACGTATCAGGAAATGCCTATAGACATGAAAACCTACTTATCAGATTGTTCTTCTGACACTTAATTGGCTGTTGTCAGCTCTGATTAGAACATCTTATCCATTATGCGTTCTCTGCGAGGTTCAGGGACAGCACCAACAGTATTTAAGAGTTTTATCGACAGTCAAGCAAAGGAGTGTTGTTTCCACCCATGTACATCACTATTGCCTTGCAAACTACTCCTGAAAAGATGATACTTAAATAGGTTTAAAAAAAAAAAATTCTATCAACCCATCAAATTTCACTTATGTGATTTGCAGTATAAATATATTACCTTCATCCTTTCCTGGGAGTAAATACGCTGAAATTGAATGTTGAAGTCTACTGTAATAAGGCTGCAAAGCATTTGACTCTACTTCATGCTCCCTCTTGTCATTGTCTATCTCGTGAAACATTCTCCTGGGGTTTGACTATTGACCATTTAGTGTTAGCAGACTCTCAAGGTCATGCAAAGAATATAAAGGCTTTCCTGTTACTTAATAACTCAAATAAGAGATATCAGAAGAAGAGAAGGCATATCTGTTTTCAGTGCACTTGTTCAAATACACATTTCTGTGCTAAGTTATGTAAACTAAACGTTTAAATTACTTACCTACTTTCTTACAAGATGGTTGGAGATATGGGGGTTTTAATTCATTAGTAATGTAGAAGGTTTTTAACTTTTATCTGTATTGAAACACTGATTGGGAAATATTTTTTTATAACGGATGATAAAAATACGACTGCTTCTGGCTTTTGTTGTAACTGATGCCTGACTATTTGAACAGGATCCATGCTTGTTCCAGTGTTCCTATAGTCTTAATTACACCTCTGGCAATGGTTTCTTTATCTGTTGTTAGGAAAAGATGCAAGCACTTGCAGGGTTTTTAGGGGGAAAGGGACATGAAATATGTTCAGTAATCAGCCTTTCCCTTATAGAAGTGTTTTGACAGACATAATCACCCCAGCAGAACATTTCTGTAAAGCTGGTACTGACTTACTGCTTTTGTTTCTGATCAGTGGCTTTGAGTTTCACAATATACAGCTGCAGAGCAGTCAGGAGCATGGTATTATTAGTGTAATTGTATAGTTTTTATTTTGAAATTTAAAATCTACTCCTGCCTATTTAGCAATAAGAGGGGGAAAAAAAGCATTAGCCCTGACTGTGGGCTGTAATAGCCTTGTCTGCTCTTTGACATACTCTACATGCGACCTTTATTACGGGGAATTAGATGTTTCTAATGAGATAATAAACCACCGCTACACTCAGATCCGTGCACTGTGATCCAAAGGCAATTCAACTATCCCAGCTCACATCCCTGTATAGTCCCAGCATGTCCTGCCATACTCACTTTCCTAGTTTCACACTTTTCTTGTCTTAAACCCTGTTAGAGTGTGGCACAAGCTGCCTGCGTTGAACGTGAGATTCGTGACTCCTCCATGCCTTTGCAGCTGGACCACAATCTCTCCCCTGCAGCGCCCAGGCGCAGCATGTGGCATACGCAGGCGCAGGACAGGGCTTCCTTGGGTGGCCCAGGGACAGCCCCGCTCCCGACGCATGAGCCCTCCTGGCAGACACACTCCCTATCACATACCTGTTGCAGCATCACGGGAGCGGCTGCCTGATGAGCCTAGTGACACAGCTGGTATTTGTCCTTAGCTGTGCCCCAACACAGTGACAGCATCACGGTGCGAGGGCATGAGCATGGTTAGGGACCTGCAAGGGACAATGTCAAATCGCAGATAAGAGCTCTTTCCCACAGCAAGGACTAAGTCTCCCAGGGAAGGGCAACACAGGTGTGGTGTTTAGACCCCTGCATACCTCTGCCCATATGGGTAAATACCATGCTAAATAGATTCAATGAGAAAGATCAAAACTTGTGGGGGTTTTTTTGTCTAGGCATTTGTTCTGGCTTTTTTTTTCTTTTTTTCTTTTTTCCTTCAAATGCTATATTTCTTAAAGGGACACTGATTAAACCTTTTGCATGCCTTAAACAGGTAAAGTAAAGAGTAATACACATAGCACTGGCAGATTTTTAAGCAAAGGTTTGCATTTTTTTATTTAAAGACACTCTTTAGAAGCTCTTAATTTGTGAATTTTGCAATGTACTGTGTTATTTAAATAAGAAGTGATTTGTTTTATGCTTAAGGGTCCTTTACACAAATGGCTTGATGCATATTTTCTTCAGCCAGCCTGATTCTGCTGCTGAGGTGAGCACAACACAAGCATAGCACCAGCCACCTCAGTTAGGAGGATTTTTTTCCTTGAAACAGTCTGTATTAATGAAGTGTGGCAAACACTCAGAACCAGTCCCAGGAGAACTCCTTGCTCAAAGACAGTATCGGAGATAAGATACTGAGGCTCCTGCAAAGATAAGGAGAAAGAAGGGAAGCTAAAATAGAGACCACTAGACAGTAAAGGATGTTGCTATGCATTGGACATCAGTAGGAAAGCAAGATATGATAGGTCTGCTCCTGCTCCCACAGAATGAGGCTCATGAAGGAGTATGTCATTGACTACAGTGGAAATGATCCTGAACTTTTGGGGGGGCTGATGGCTTTCCTCATGAGCTGGCCTGTGTTTTTTCCAAAATCAGAGTTTTGCAGCAAGGTACTTAATTCTGGAAGGTGATGCATTTGACTTGAGGTTTATGACTTACCCTAAAGTAAATCCTTAGGAGTGGCCATCATCACAGATGGTCCTGCCCCACTGCAAGAGATCACCATTCATGTAAGGGAACATCACTCTTCAGCATACCTTAGGACTCAATTTAGCTTTGACCTGCAGGGATATATGCTTCTCTAAGTTGTTTTGCAGTGGTATCATCAGTGTACAACAGTCACATTTGGTTAAATAATAGACTGGCGTAACTTTTTATGGATTGGAAATACTTTTGCCTTAATATGATTTAAAAATGTGTACTTTAATACTGTTTGAGTGAGATTTATGTTCAGCTCTAAACTGCACCTCGTAACATGACTTGGTGTCCTCTAAAAGTATTTATTGTTTGGGCTGGGACATGGTAAATCTCTTCTGTTTATGATGGTGGATAGATATCACAGGAAGTCTGCCAGGCATGTTGTCATTCTGCGGTCCTAAAAAAACCATGGATGAGTCTCTCACTCCTCCATCATGGCAGGTTTCTAATGCTATATTTGCACTTTAACAAACACATTCAAAATATTTAATCACCGGATTTCAGAAAAGAAAGGATGGAAGCTAAGGGTGGTTACACCAAGGCACACAAATACCTTTTGGGTTGCATGGACTCTGAGTATTTTATCGGCCAAATTCTAACTATTCTCAGGAGAAAAAAGAGAAAAAAGAAAAAAGAAACCATGCAACATGAGTTGTCATCACAACCCTTTTCCTGTTGAAGTGTTTGGGAGCTGTATCTTTCATTCATTCAGTGGAAGCAGGAGCAAGACCCATCTTATGCAGTGTTTAGGCTTGTCACGTGTATTTGCATATGAGCTTTTCAAAATGTGTTTTATATCTGATTATTAATAATTGCCACAGTATCTGCTTAGAAAGCTAGACGGCCTTCGAATTTCCACCTTTCTAGTGCTTGATGGCAGAGCAGTTGCTGCTGTGCTCTGCAACATTTTATCCGCAGTCTGTGTAACACATTCAGGATATGGTACACCATCCAATATTTTTAATCTAAATAAAATATGTGAGAATTTACATTGTGAACCTTTATTTCCAAGGTGAGAGATGAAGACACCATGCATAACTTTTTGTATCTCAGATCAACCTCTGTGCATCTCAGTTTCTCAAGGACTTACTAAATAGACAAGATGCAGATATAGACTGAACTATTTGTTACCCACTTACATGATCTAAATCATGCTGTTGCAGTCTGTAATTTAGGACAAATGAGATAAAGCAAACTATGTACATGGATTTTTCCAGGAGACTTCTTATTGTTGAAATGCTTAGTCACCATGATAGCAGAACTAATGTTATGGGACTTAAAATTTCCATATGTAACATTTGGAATAATCTACTGAAAAATACGCTATAAAATAATACATGATTATCTGGTTCCCACTTGTATTCTACTATATCTCACACTACTGTTGCAAATAAATGATCTGTTAAAAAAAAAAGCATCATGTGGTCACTGGAAACATTTAAAGTCCTAAAGCTCAGGACTGAAATATGAGGAAAAAGCCCAATTCGGGCAATAGAACATGTCTAAGAGGAGTCTGGAAGTGTGTGCGACTGAGAATGAATGATTTACTGTGGAAAAATATTTGTCGGTGAAGAGAGCTGATTGTGAAAGAGGCTTAATATCTTTATGGAAGCAAGCTAAACCAATTAGAGCAAAAATTATGCTGGTATATGTACATCACCAATTTTTCCAGATGGTTTTAAAACTCATAGGACTAGTAGGGAGCTGAGGTTTTGAAAAGTGATCGAAATGACACTGGCACTTCAGAGTCCTTTCACTAAAGCATGGCTTGTGAGACCAAGCTCCCATGAGGAACTTCAGCAATGGAAATTGGGTCCTGTAGCAATTACGTTTCTGGTTGTCTGGCTCCTTGCTTGGAATGCAAAGTTTAGCTCCCAGGACACGTATGACATTCATGGAGGTAAATTAGGATCATGAAAATGATTAATATGAAAACCCATCACCTGGGATAGCATCTAATCAGCAGGAAGGGCTGAGAGCAGACTCGTACCCGAAACTCACCCCCCACATTGGTTTGTGTCTTGCCTTCAGCTTCTTCAAATCCAAGCTCCAGAGTCACCTCTCAAGAGGCTTAGAGGTGTGTGTGTCTGTGTATGTGTCATATAATTTACTACACACATGATCTGTACCTTACTGAAACAGGTTCCCAAGGGGATTTAGACAGAACTAGTAAAATTATTTCGGGTTCACAATCACATAATGCAGGAGCCACTTTGACATTTTGAGACACAAAACAGGAATCTAGGTGTCTTGGAGAGTTAGAAAGGCAAACAAGTAGTGATGTGGCTGTCTGCAGGGTTAAGGTGAAGAAGGGTCCTGGGAAGAACAGGAAAGCAACAGTGCGGGCAAGGGAGGTCTTTGTAGTGTACCTCTTACCCAGTGGTTACTGGCACTGTGGCATCACTTATGGGATTAAAACGTGCTCCCTGTTGTATGACAACATGCATGGAGGCTTGTGGATCACATCTGAATGGGAGAGGCTGAGCCATGCTGGGTGAGTGATGTCCTTACGCTAAGCTTCAGCGGTGACACTGGCTTCAGCAGCGACAACTACAAACAGCAACTGTGGCCCAGTCATTTGCTTAAAAAGAGAACTTAGAGTGTAGATATTCCCAATATCAGCTTCCTTTTAAACCCTCCTTTGGCTTTAGACTCCTTTATCTGTTGCAGATTGTAGTGTATTGCAAACGTTGTAAGCTGCTTTATTTATATCAGACTGATAACTGTTATCTCGGCTATTAATTTCTTTTGACCTTTCTTGCCTCCTTTCAAGTACAAAGACTGTGGCACAATCTAGCTAAAAAAGCTGTCACGAGGTTCTTTTGAAAGGCAAAAGGAGCTTGTATTATTTGTCTCTCACCTTTGAATGTGCAATGGGGGGAGGCTGAGGCTTTCTTCAGGTGTGCCTGGCAAACAGAGTTCCCAGTCGCTCTTCTCCACTCACATGCAGCAATGACCTTTCTATGATTTTTCATCCCTACTTCACTTTTGATATGAATCTTCATAAAAAGCTCTGGAATTCACAATGTGTCTGAAAGGTCATATTAATAGACTCTGTGTGCACACACACATGTGTGAAAGATGCATAGAGAGGCACAACTTTGCACAGGCATTGGATTTACTTCTTCCCAGCAGTGGACAAGATGAGTGCATAAAACCATGGGAGATCAGTTGCCATTTGAGATTGCTGCATGCCCCACTAGGATTCTAATGACTTGGTCATTTATTTCCACTCACTTCTGAGCCATATAGCTTTCAGCCTGAAGAGGGGTCACGGCTGTCTCCTACTGCTATGGAGCCAGTTGGGTTCTGCTGCTCTTCCTCCCAAGGGTCATTTGCCATAAGGCTTTTTCTTCCACACTCAAGCCATTTAAAAACTGATTACCTTGTACATTTTGGAACCTTCTAGCATGAGAAATATTTTTCCATTATCCCGCTCTACC